GATTGATATTATAAAGGTAGTAGAAGTAAATGATTGATATTATAAAGTTTTCTGTAAAGATAGAAAAATATTTATCACCGACATGCCATTAATAACCGTTACATGAAGACTGCTCTGCAATATAAAACATGTGTAAAGTCTACTTTCTTATGCCAGGTTCCAACTATCACGATTCGTTCTACGATTGAAATCCTGGTTTTAATCGTGGAGTAATCGTTGTTGATCCTATCGGGTCTGATCATATAATGAGGTCAGTCGTAGCAATCGAGTTGATCGTATCCAAACGTATCTGCAAGTAGCAGATCATGGACTCAATAGGGATAATCATATCGTATGACGTCGTAAGACAGTGGGCACCTACCATTAAGAATCAACTGGGGGGGGGGGGGTTCAGAAAAAAACATTATTAACTTTCTGGTAATCATATTTTTCGGACAAAATGTTTGCCATCTATTCAAAATAAACTGCCCGAAGGTGACCATTATCTGATGATAAAACACTGTACTAATCTTACTTTATTTTAATTGAATAGGCTACGGCGAATTGGTATTTAATTGACTATATGGATTAAAACATTCAGTCTGGCTCCACTCTGGATTGTACGACATAATTGGGTCATTGTCCATATTTTGTTTCACCACATTATGGGGAATCGTATTGTCTTTAAATTGACTAATAAACTAATTGGGGAAAGTTTTAAATGGCTGTGTTCAGTGTCTGTATTTCATAGTGGGAAATCGACAACTCACTGCGAAAAGATGGTACGTTATTGGCATGAGGAATGCTGGGATGTCAAAGTTGGGTCACCATCCCTCGACCATTAGTCGATTAATGCGAAACATCAACATACTAACCATGTAAAGGATCGTCAACGTTCTGGTAGACCACACAGTGCGTCTTGGAGACTGGTGTGATGTCATCCGTTTGCGCCAAGCATAGTGTGTAAAACTACGGAATGGTTACCTCAACACCCCCTTTCGCACAAAACTGTTCATAATATAATCGGATTCAATCGGCTGGGTATGGCGCAAAGAGACTCATCAGACGACCACAAGACTGCACGACTAGCATGGTGCCATTGCGAAAAAATTACTAGTTGGGATGAAAGGTGCAGATCAGGAAGATTGAATACCTTTCAGAATATGAAACGTAGTTAACATATCTGATCAAACCCTAGCACTATATTAAAATAGGGGCGTTGTGATGTTTTCTGTGTATTTTGCACTCATTGGAAAAGGGTCAAGTTTTTTTCCACTGGACACATCTTAGTGGAAAATGCCCAATTCTTTCCTTAAATTTTTATTCTGTATTTTTTCTGATGTGTTTTTAGAGAGTTGAAATGTGGGGACCAGTCCGATGCATAGGATTATGTAACCATTCCATCCTAATTGGCCTGGCGTTTTGGGAAGTCATAGGAGATGTAAGGAGACAAATGGCCTAAACTATAGTTTTGTTTTGAAAACGAAATAATGTTGAATCACCTAGTAGATAATAAACAATAAAAAATAATTTGACGTAGCAGGAAAAATATTAAAATTATGGCTTTTAAAACACTTAAATTGGCATTCCTCCTAAATCTTATATATAATAATAGGGCATTGAATAAGGTATATGCGGACAACGATAGTTTAGACACGCTCTTCGTGGTATCTGTTTATATTTTTCAATGAAATTGTCGGTTATGTCACACTCGAGCTTAAAAAATTTCATGTATAATTTTATGTCACGCAAGGACGAGGCTTAGGGATGATATTAAAATTCTCAGAAGATTCTGAAACGGAAAGGCCCACAATACAGAACCCACACTGGCTACCAAGGAGAGGTCGAAAGTGTTAAACACATTAAGGCCCCGTGCATTCTAATTCGGGAATATCACTATAATAACGTTCCGGACAGATTAATATTAGATTAATAATCGTTGAGAAAGCGATCACTATGCGAGTACATAACTGCGATTGTGTTAGAAGTAAAGATATAGATGTTTTCTTGTTATAGAATATTGTGAACAACTCATTTTAACAAGAGAATGGGGGCTATGTAATAGTTAACCTTCACTTATTCATAATGTATATCGGGTTTTCCAATTTACCATTTGTAAACATGCATTAGCTATTGAAGCGTATAGATATCGCGATATTAATTGTTAATATGTCAACATATTGTGGTCGATGTAACGATATTACCCCTGAAAAGACAACTTTTGCCGAGCTAATGGAATTAACCGACTATGCTGTGTATCGTCATTTCCTTTTAACTGTGCACAATATTGCCATTCTGAAGCATTGTCATCCGTTTCGCCGTCCTAATGTTCGCAAAATATGTCGATATACCAAGTCGAAATGGAATATGTTGACAAAGCATTATCTTAGCGTCAACGCATGCACTTCAAACGAAATGACGACATACAACATAGCGCTTTTATTCAGATAACTCGACATAATTGTATTTTCAGGAGTAAAGTCATCACAACGATTACAATGTTTTGCCATATTGTAGTAGGTGAGTTTCGGCCCAATAGTAAATGTTTAGTACGTCATGCTAATCCGCACAGTATTACTTAATTCAGTGAGCTATAATTAAATGGATCTTCATCCACCTTAATTACCCCCATTTATATCTATTTCATATTGTCATATATTTCCCTATTTTACACTAATAAGTTATTTTATAAATTCTGATTAACGTCTACCGGTTAAAGCTTTTTAGCCACCATGATGTTGTTTGCAAAGACGATAGATTATAGAATTAACGCGTGGGTATATAGAGAGAAAAATGAGTGAGTCAGAAAAAAAATAACCTTTGTTACAAACCGTCATTAGGAAATGTAATGGGGTTTAACGTCCTACTGTTCTGCTCCTAACCTGTTCTAATGAAGACGGGCATACGCCATACAGTGTGCTATGAGGGAAATTTTGCCCGGGCAGCGGCACTATCGCCTACTCTTATATGAAATTCCAACTGCCAAGGGATCTTTTACGTGCACGCCAATGTGTACACGGGACCTGGTTTTTCGTCCCATCCAAACGACTAGACAGCTGTCCTTGTCAGGCCCCCCACCCTGCATCACTGACAAGGGGAAACCACGCCGGAAAATCTGGAAGAACTTTCTCGACCAGTGCAGGGATCGAATACCCTACCTCCAGGCTAGCGAGCCAGCGTCTTACCCACTTAGCCACGTGGTCATTAGGAGATCAACTTAAATCGAATTCCTAAGGACAAACTTTATGTATCTGTATTTGGATATTTGGAGATACACGTTTATGCCAATTCACATAACCATATTGGAACTTAACTATTATTAAACAAAGACGATAGATTATAGGATTTAAAATGCCATGGTAACGCATGGATGTATATAGACACAAATGGGTGACTTAAAAAAGAACCTTTGTTACAAACCGTCATGAGGAGATCAACTTAGATCACATTCACAAGGGCAAAATTTATGTACCTGTATTTGGAGACATTCACTTATGTCAATTATCCATATCGAAACTTCTCTACTATTAAGCACTGAACCAAGATTTGCTACATTCATTGTGTGCTGTAATTCATATTGATCAAGTGTTATCCAATGAATATAGAAATATTAACAAGATTACGGTGTTAATTTATTACTCAACGAACATTAAAGACATTATACAAGAAACATCACTAATATCACGCTATCTATCGCGGACTTGACCCCTATACGCTCCCATACTTACCAATATGTGGATTTACATAGACGGAGAGAGGGAGAAAAATGGGGTTCAACGTCCATTCGACACAAACTAGGTCATTTCGGGAATAACATGGTTCAATTTTATTTCAATAATTCGCTTCCGCGTAGGGGTCTTTACAGTAGGACCCGGAGAAAACCCACGAGGTTGGACAAGCTACCCTACTCCTTGTCTCGAACAAATGGCGAATCGGAACCACGCCACTTTACTCAATAACAGACCTTATGATGCAATGCGCACGCGTGAACCATTCGACCACCCAACCCCATTTGGATTTAAATAGATGACGAATTTATTTATCAAAATAATGTGAATGTTGCAACGCAATAATATTGTCATAACGTTCATGGTTTGTAAGCAAATATAATCATATTAACTTATCTTGGATTTGCATCTTTTTTTACTTATTTTTCCACGAAGTCTTTGGTTGATATTTTTATTCTTTTTTGCGTTGAAGAGAAATGAAATGGGTTTAACCTTTTGTGTTATTTCTCAACCGTGCCTTGCTTGTTATTTTTTTTATCATTTTTTTAAGTTAACGTATTCTGTACGAACCGAGCAATTGAAGGCGGTCTTGCCGTGTGATATTAGGAACATTTTCAATTTAAAACTGCCAAGTGATCTTAATGTGCTACCAATAATAAGCACGCGGCATCGTTATTTCGTTCCATCCGAAAAACTAGATGCCTTTACCTTACCAGGCTCTTTGTGTAAATTTGGATACTCGATCACTTTCGTTTCTTCCATAAAAATATTTGATTTTTTGATCTTACACATTTTCTGAATATGAATTGAAAGCAATATTGTCCACTAGATCGTCTTTCGTAAAATACAACCCACCATATCAATATGTACAAGAGAAACTTTAATTATTATGTCAAAACCAACACAATTTCACCGAGGATTCCATTGCGAGAAAAATATTCGAATGCCTTATATGTATAGACAATATTTATATAGAATTCAGAGACATATTTAAGAATATAACTGGTATTCGTATGGGTACCAACCGTGAACCTTTTCTCGCTAATATATTTCGCAATAGAAAACGTCACTAAAAGAGTTTAATTTCACTCATAGGTATACAAACAATGCATAAATTAGCATATGAATTAGTTATCGGAATTACTATCAAAATAAATCATATCAGTATTTGGAAAACCCAAATGTTGAAATCAGCAGTTAAAATGCAGAACACCGGATAGATGTAAATATTTCCCCAATTGAATTCCGCATTCATAATATACAATACCTTACTAAGGTAGAGGTGCATTCGAGCTAACTCAGATTTTACTTATAGTGTACAATCTACCTTATATCACACACTCGTATCTACGCGGCCTGTTTAGGTAACTAGAAACTTTCAGCTAACTTCAAAGCATGTAAGTATTCCTTTTTACTTTCTTGCATATACATTTGCTTTAAAATGTTATTACATATGAAATAAGTATTTTGATCAATGCATTTTGTTTTTTCTTGTAAATGTTCGTAAACCATTTAGTAAGCGTGGAGTTAATCGAATTAAACGTTAATATTTTGAGACTGTCAAACTTTCATTTACATTTGAGGCGTTTCCGCCTACATTTATCTTGACCATTATATGACATTATATATTTGATATATTTGGAAATAAGAAATGCTGAATATTGAAGCATTCTATAAATTGGGCATGTCCAATAATGGTGTAAAACATTAAAGCGAAGTATGAAATGGCAAACAGGAAATAAATTCAAAGCAATAGCATCGTTTTAGGAGTTTCGTTTGTTTCATAATACCCCGAGACAAAGTATCAGTATTTCGATGCAACAAAAATACATGACTGATTTCAGCGATCACCAGAGTTCACATAATTTACAAGTTTTGTTAATAAGCATTTATCATCATGTGTCTACATTTGTCGGTATTTAATCATTGTGAAAAGACGAAAATAGATAAAATATCCAAGAATGGATGATTATCTCATAAGTCATCTTTCTTTCATTTCGTGAAAAAAAAATGCTCTTGGTCATTTTGTGTGAACATAACTGTGCTGCCAAAAAATTTCTTTTATATAACCTTATGTGTGTTTTTTAACATTTACTATAAGTTTAAATATTGGATTGTCTGAATTTGATTTATTCGGTAATATCCTATAGTCAAAAATCTACCATTAATCGACATTATATAAGGGATTTCGTTTAACTTAATAAGTGAGTTGAATCTGGCTCATGTGCATTGAATAAATGTATTATGTTTTTCAATCAATGTAGCAAATTTTTTCACAGCAAAATGATGTTAATATATGAATAGCAAACGTATCTAATAAATTTAGCCTTGGCAAGAAAAAAGTCGGATACCTTTTGATAGAGAATTTGTGTAACTTGATTCATAGGGTGAAGACGACTGCCAGATGTTTTAAAATCTGTAACTAGTATAGATTTCTTTGCAGTGGGGTAATATTATTATTAGGCATCTTTATATCTTTATTACTTCGCACGTTTATGTTTGAGAGACTTTTATTTGAAAGCCGATCGAGAGTCTAATAGTAGCCACGGTTATCTTTCATTTAAACTGGGTAATCCTCCCCATTAGGTTTTTTTTAACTATAATAAACTCAAGTTTCATTGGAAATAATAGTATATGATGTATTTTTCCCTAGTCTCATTTTATTGCTATGATTTTCCCTTATATGGTCACCGTTAGAAATAGTGTCATTTTATTTTGATCAGACACGTATCTGAAGTATACCTGAATCACATCTTCGATAATTCCTTTATGATAATGGGTGGGGTGGGTAAATTCGACAATGTGTGATTTTGGTTGTCTAAAATTTCGTTTGAAATTAATTTTTGTGGTAGATTAAAATGGTTAAAGATACTCTATAAAGTTTAGTTAGGGATTAAGGGTACAAATTAATTAGATAAGGGCTGAAAATCATCATTTCAACTTCATAACGGATTAGGTTACATCATATCCTATCTTAGCGCATTGAAGACAAAGAAGTTGAAGACTGCTAAAAATACATTTTTAAAGTTCATCTTTAGCAGGCGACAAAATGCTGCCAGCTGCAAGACTGAAATTCCATCTGCCAGATGTTAGCAAGGCTAACATAGTTAGAGTTATCTTTCCCTGGGTGTATTACATTACAGAATGTTATCTGTTTCACACATGGAATCCATTTACAAAAAGCATTGATTATGCATTCACGGCATCATAATTTCTGCATTTTTATCAAAGTATTTCTGATACACACCTAAGACCCAACGGGCTTATGGCATACACCATCGGTGGCTTCCACGGGCCTGTGATTCGTTAATTTTTACATTTTTATGACCCAAAGGGCTAATGCCATACACCATGTCCGTCGTTCATTTTTTCTTTTTTTTTTGATTTGTAAGTAAATGGTAGAAATCGTGATGTGTTGGTTTCTCACGTAACTTTTTAAGGGTGTATTCAAATTGAAAAATTGTTGACGCGATTAACCTAAATGCATATTATAATATCTTATATAACTTTATAATAATAACGAATTAACCCGTTTCGGTAGTTTATGTTCATATATTAAAGTGTTTTTTATAACATATTATTTTAATTCACAACTTATTTGGTTATTTAACGACTTTTAATATGACAACAATATTACTAATGGGTGTTATCGCTACATTAAGTGAATAAGGCTCATATAATATATCAATGCAAATCAGTGTATTTATGGAATGCAGATTTTAGTTACATGTATTATTACATAGAGTAAATGTATAATTAGCCACGTGATCCCCCATGATATGGAATGCAGATTTTAGTTACATGTATTATTACACAGAGTGAATGTATAATTAGAAAACAATAACTTATACACTAAATTAACAATGTATCTTGTCCTGGTGGTGCCTTGCGGAACTTGGACATGTTTAAGGGGACATTTATAAATTAGTTGACGAATTTTATTGAAATTTGTTATACCTAAAATCGCTCGAAAAAATCGTGCCATGTGCCGGTTCACGGCAATGACGATTCTACTCGTCGAACCATTCGCCCGACGGATCGCCCGTATCTAGCATGTTAGATATTTACGCAGGTGATCGATTCGCCCGTGTCTAGAGTATAGGCCTATTGTCAAGCGAACCATTTTCATAGGACAATCTCAAAATGGCTTCCTCCACTGTCGAAGCGTTGAGTCTGACAAAAGAAGAAGAATTGGTGATTCTTTGGTCAGAAAGGCCTTGCCTGTTTGACTTCCAGAGTTTTCGAAGCAAATAAATAGCAGCTACTACAGCAAGCTTACGTTTTAGGCGATTCGTCATTTTGTACACGTCACGTGATCGACGTAATTTACTCGTAGGCCATCCCTAAGTGTGCCCGCTCGTGATCGGCAGTAAAACATCGCTGGCGAATTTCAATCGCCGCGATCAGGCGAAAAAATTGGGTATATCCGGTTTTACTTATATGAGTCAGATACTATTCAATATGAGATCATACTACATACACGACCTTGATATATGTTTACCAGTCAACGTAGACTGAAATACTGAACTATCTTGTTCTCATGTTTCGGCTGATAATAAAAAGATGTGTCACAAAAATAGCAATTTGAACATTCCCTTAATACGCCTTAATAATAATATTTTTTTATTCAGTATGCAGATCATAAGATCTATAGATACAAATAACATTCAAACATGGTGATATTTCAAGCAATTATACAGAATGTAGTGTATAATAGATGGATAGTTTTAAATATGATAAATTGTTTAATAAATTGGTTTGGTTTTGGGATATAAATAGATTACAATAATATTGAACAATGATAAATTATCATTCTATTTACAATATACAGCTTGCTTATTATTTTAATGATATCTGATTCCCAAACACAGTCTATAGTTTCACTATTTACAATTAAATTGTTTAGTATGCATAGCTTTATTTAGATAATGAGATAACGAAACAAGTGTAATTTTATCAACACTATTACATAGTTGGTGAAATTTTGCTTTATTGTGTGTGTGTGGGGGGGGGGGCTAATATACTGATGAGGTATATAAATTGATCGTAAATGTTTATAATGGTAACACTTACATACGCCATATAGTGTGTTATAATGGAAATTTTGCCCGGACAGAGATGCGACGGCCTACTCTTATATCGAATTCCAACTGTCAAGGGATCTTTTACGTGTACACCAGAGCTCGGGTTTTCGTCCCATCCGAGCGACTAGACAGCTGTCCTTGTCAGGCCCTCCGCCCTGCACCACTGACAAGGAAAAACCACGCTGGAAAAATCCCGATGAACTTTCTCGGCCAAAACCGGGAGCGAACTGGCGACCTCTAGACTAGCGAGCCATCGGCTTACCCAATTAGGCACCGTGGCTCCTCCTATAAAGGATATAGAATTAAATGAAATAAAATGGTGTTTAACGTCCTACATTTCTGTACTATTCGGGTTAATCAAGACGGACATGAGCCATGCAGGGTGATAATATGATGAAAGTTTGGAGAGCAGCGACTCTTCACTAAACTCTTCACCACTATCAGGGGCAAAACACGCTGATACTCTCTTGGAGAACACTGCGATCGAACCATACACCTTGGTGAGTAGGTGTCATATTGAACAGTCACTGGATTGTTTGTATGGACCCGTACTATACTATTCAAAAAAAGTAGGGGATATTTGATTTTGGGGGCATAATACTAAAATATGCAAATGACTACGAAAAAAGTCACTATAGAACCTAACAGAAGAAACATTTCCAGTTACATGTGACTCCCAAACGCACCAATAGCTACCGCATGGAATGCAGGTGATGCTTGGGATCATCATGGGGGTCCAAACCAAGATTTGCACGACTCTGACTTTGAATGTTACAGTCATTGTGGCATTGAATTCCAGGGTGGAAACATCAGTTTAATTGTTTTAGTGACCAGAAAACAAATTTTGATATGCGTCGGCTTACCCAAAATGAAAGGTTACGTGCCCTTGGCATGCTACATATCGGCACAACACAGGCGGTTGTGGCGCGGACGATGAATGTTTCTCAGTCTGTCATAAGCAGGCTATGGTCCAGATACCGTGATACACAATCTGTACAGGACAGACCACGCTCAGGTCGACCAAGGGCGACAACTCAAGCCCAGGATCGATTTATCCGTACCTTGGCCTTGAGAAATCGTGTCATCACAGCAAATCAGATCAGCGCTCGTCTTCAAACAGACACTGGTGTGAGAGTGAGTGGCCAGACGATTCGGAATCGACTGCATAGGGGTCACCTTCGCGCCCGACGTCCTCGCGTGATCCCTTGTTTGAGAGATCATCACATTCAGGCAAGACGTCGTTGGTGTAGGGATCGTCAACACTGGGATAATCGACGCTGGAGCAATGTGATGTTTTCAGATGAGTCAAGGTT